CAACTGTGCCCACATATCTATTCAGGAGACACCATCACAGGGCCTAATAACATCAGCCCCACTATCAGAGGCTCGTTCACCTGCACATCCACCAATGTGATATATGTCATCATGTGCCAGCAATGCCCCTCTGCCATGTACATTTGTCAAACTGGACAGTCTCTACGTAAAAGAATAAATGGACACAAATCAGATGTCAAGAATTATAACATTCATAAACCAGTCGGAGAACACTTCAATCTCTCTGGTCACGCAATCACAGACATGAAGGTCGCTATCTTAAAACAAAAAGACTTCAAATCCAGACTCCAGCGAGAAACTGCTGAATTGGAATTCATTTGCAAATTGGATACTATTAATTTAGGCTTAAATAGAGACTGGGAGTGGCTAAGTCATTATGCAAGGTAGCCTATTTCCCCTTGTTTTTTCCTACCCCCCCCCCCCCCCCCGACGTTCTGGTTAAACTTGGATTTAAACTTGGAGAGTGGTCAGTTTGGATGAGCTATTGCCAGCAGGAGAGTGAGTTTGTGTGTGTGTGTCCCCGGAAAAAAAAAAAGGGGCGGGGTGAGAGCCTGGATTTGTGCTGGACATGGCCCACCTTGATTACCATGCACATTGTGAAGAGAGTTGTCACTTTGGATGGGCTGTTACCAGCAGGAGAGTGAGTTTGTGGGGAGGGGGTGTGGAGGGTGAGAGAACCTGGATTTGTGCTGGAAATGGCCCAACTTGATGATCACTTTAGATAAGTTATTACCAGCAGGACAGTGGGGTGGGAGGAGGATTTGTTTCATGATCTCTGTGTGTATATAATGTCTGCTGCAGTTTCCACGGTATGCATCCGATGAAGTGAGCTGTAGCTCAGGAAAGCTCATGCTCAAATAAATTGGTTAGTCTCTAAGGTGCCACAAGTACTCCTTTTCTCTTCCGACAGTGGCCAATTCCAGGTGCCCCAGAGGGAAAGAATAAAACAGGGAATCATCAAGTTATCCATCCAGTTGCCCATGTATGTAGTATTTTCTGTTCTCTTCCTTGTTATTCATAAATCTTAATGTATTACTGTGATATTTAGTATAGACCATAAAGTATAAAGTTTAGGATGTGTGATGTAACAGAGCGAGCATTTTAGCATAAAATCTGGGCCAAATTCTGATCTCATATATGGTGGTGTAAGTCTGGATTATATGAGTGTGAATGACATCTGAATTTGGCCCCATAATAGTGATGTATGCATCAGAATTTCCATTTTTACCTCTGGGAAGGGACTTGAACTGTTTTTCTTGTAGTCCTGGCCATTTTAAACAGGGTTATGGGATAGACTAGTGCTTAATATTGTAGTATCCTAGATTCTGTTTTACTTGCCAAAGGTGTTTACGCTGCTGACTTCAGATAAATTGGAGAGAATTAGAAAATGTAAATTCCCAACACCAGACTTTTAAAAACTAAAAATGCCACAACAGGCACCTTCTAGCCACCAGCTACATGCAAAGGTGCCATCTAATTTTTCAGTTGCCTCAGTTTTTTTCCAAGGCGTACTGCACCTTCCAGCAAAAATTTCTTTCACTGTCTGTCATTAAATCAGTTTTCTGAATTACAATAGACTACAAATATACAAACTGGAGTGGAGCAACAAAAAGACACATCTGATATCTAGGCCATGCCAATGTGGCCTTTTCTACTAAAATGTGTACAACAGCTGTTTTCCCTTGGCTGAAAGTAATTTATTTCCTACTATCATAAACATTCCTGTATCAAAATTAAGTAGCCACAGAGATAGTGATCTTGGTCTGTTTTGCACCTTCCTGTGTAAATACTAGTAGGAAGAAGTCATAGGGGGAGTAAAATGCTCTGAGGGGACTGTGGTGCATAAAAACCCAAATAGACAGGACTGAATGGAGACTGATCCACCTTTTTGCCACGACAGGTAATTGCTCCAGGCCATGGCAAAGGCATGTTGGTGAAGTGTGGGGGAGCTTGCCTGGTGCTGTTAATGGTATACCTGTGCATACACAGAGAACTTGACTTTGTAGTGTTGTCAAGCCATGGCTGCTATGCAATTTTACATTTTAACTAAAAACCACTCTGTTTCGTCATTTTTTGTTCTGAGTTCCAGAAAAGGAAGGAATCGGAAAGTGTTGTATAAGTATCGGATGTGTTTATGCCTCAAATTCTTATGGTTTCAACTGTATCCAGGCCAATTCCAGAACAAAACAGAAATTGCATCCACAGAGTCCATAAAGTCGACAATTACTGTCATGATTTGTATTATTCACTGGGCATTATCTGTGGTGCTCAGCACTGTTCAGAACATGCCAGAAAATATAGTTCCTGAGCCAATGTGTATGAAATGTGTAGCCCTGGATAAGATGGCTCAGATATTTAAGTATGAAATGTATAGTTATTAAGCACATATTGATATATGTGCGTGAAGGCACTGCTGACAATAGAAGTTTTACTAGATTAAGGACGAGAAGATTTGACTCTCCAACTTTCTTTCTAGAGGAAGAGCTGCCCAGAGCTCTGGTGCCTGTTTATTTTCCTTTCCTGCCTCCATTTTCCCTGAGATACCTCAGAAGTGTCAGGTTTTTTTCTCAACTTTAAAATATAGACTTCTCTTGCTGTTTGGTTTTAAATAGTCTCCTGTGAGAACTGCAACTCAATCACTGTAGTGTTGCGTTTAAGAGCCTTCTGGAAAGTAACTAGCCCTTAAACAGAAGTAAAAGCAGTGCTGCCAAATCTCATGATTTTGTCATGAGTCTCATGCTAATTGCTTTCCTTAAAGTCCCAGCTCCTGGAGTCAAGTGGATATATGATGATTTCAACCTTCATTCTGAAAGAAAAATGAAGTTTCTAGCCCTTATGGCTGTGGAGAAAACTTAAATATGTGACCCCAATACACCCTAAAGGCTCAAAAACCAAAAGGCAAATAAAAAGAACCCCAAAGCTGTCATTTTTACATAATCTCTTGATTTTTGGTGAGCCTGATTCATGATTTTTGAACATTTGGGGTTGGCAATACTATGAAAGTGACTGAAAAGTGTCAGTTTCACTCCTGTTTGAAGTCCCTTTCTAGTCTATTAGTAGTGGTGAGGTAACACCCCTACAGCCCCGGCAGATGTATTCTAAACTCTCGGAGCCTTGCCCTAGTAGGATGTTTCCCAAGTTAAATGATCTATTCCAAGCTTGATGAACTGCAAAAAAGTGATAGAAAGTAATCTGGATTTTTCTACAATTGTTTCAGTTGTATTCAAGAGTTAGTAACAAAGAATATACATTACAGTTTTAAACCTAACCAGTGTCCCTTAAGAAGTGACTTGACACAAGATATGAGAACATGTTAGTATTAGAGCTGAGTGGGTCTAATATTTATTTAATCCTCTTTTTTCTGTAGAAATTAGATACAGTGCTCCTATCAGCTAATTTCTAAATTATTATCTGCAAAAAAAAACAAACCTAGAGTTTTTAGGTGCCTGAGTAGCCCCTGGAACCACAGTTAAAGTCCCCTCCTCCCCCACCAAAATCTGAAATGGCGCCCCTGTGTCATTTGTTCCATGTCCCTTTCTCATTCCCTCATTTCGACCTTATGATCTGCACCCCTATTCCTGTTTGTTTTTTGTCCATTGTACTTAATTCTGGTCCTGTGACCTCTCCTTAATGCGAAAAGGCAGCCTTCCGTTACTGTGATGTGCTCCACCTATCAATCCCAGGATTTAAGTAGCGTAGCACCTTATACGATCCTTCCACAGAGATCAGTTAGCCACCTCAAACCAGCACTAGGTTCACTGATAAAACTGTAGAAAGACCAAACAAAAAACTACTTGGATGATATTTTCAATCTTATTCTCTTCTATCTGCATACAGTAAAATCACTATAAATATGCTATAAAACCAGTCCAAATATTAATACATTTTCATTCATTTTAAATAAAGATGAACATTGTAACTTGATTTTAGCTTAGAACTTTCTGCTAAGAACTATTAGTTTCTTTTAATCATGCTCTACACTAATTTTAAGCCAGATTCTGCAATTGACTACTACTCAATATGAGTAATTGTGTTTGGGTTCTCCTGTAGACCTGCTCCTTCAGAATCTCACTGTTCTGAGTAGTATATCTTTGGGAAGTCCCTTTGGGGAATTTCCTCACTCATTTATTTTTTATGTTGTACTCTTCACACCTGCTTTCTGCTCCCAACTCTGCCATCTGCTATGCTTCCCTCCCCACCCCCCGTTCTGCTTTGGCTCCTTCACACCCATCTCCCATGCCCCTTGCTATCTCTTCATCTGCCCGAAAGCCCTGCACTCGGTCTCTTCAGTGCTTGGCTGTGGAACTAAGCCTGCAAGAAAGGGTTACAATTTAAAAGAGTCTTTTCAAATTGAGTCTAGGCCTCTGTGAACCCAACACATGTCTACTGGGCAAGTGGAAGCCCATGTGCAGATTTTACAAGAAATCTAAGAGAGGTGTGTTCTCATCCGAGTTTGAATGTCTGGTGAACAGCTTGCTGCATCTCTACATTTTTGTGCACATGTTATGCATGCATATTAGCAAGTCATCTTTGTCTTGGGGAAGACGAGATCTTGAACAAATTTGCTTAGTTACTTTAAAGCTACAGTAGATAGAATACATGCTTCAGTTCATCTACTCAGCACAGCGAATACCACGCTCCTTTTTTTCTGTATTGTCATGAGGAACATAGTCTAACTATAAATTACTTTTGTGTATGGAGAGATTAAATATGTAGTAGGTGCTGTCTGTCAGAACACTTCTGGCAAAGAAAATAATTCTTACAGCCAGGAAATGCAAGAAAGGCTCCTGCAAAACCTCCAATATATTAGTGTTATTGTCAAAAATAAGAGGCTGCAGGATCTATGGCTAAACAGAAGATTTCAATTCAAGATTTCAAATCCAGTGCTTCTTAGGAGAAATAAGTTCACTTAAAAGGCAATTAAATATATATTGCCTGTTAATGTCACCTGTAACTTGTCAAACTGTTATTTTAAACAGGATATAGAAGCAGCAGAAAAGAGGTTGCAAGCAAGAGTACACCTACAGCCACATCCTGATATTGTTAAGCTTGAAGTAAGTCCTGAAATAAACTCCATCCTTTCACTTGCTATGTACAAAATAGTTCCCTTTTTTTTCTGAAGCATATTCGTAAAGTAAAAATAATTGATTTTGAAATTGACTGGTATAGCCAAGGGCCTGTGTACTGTGCAGTTGGCTGAACCTAAATTCTGGGCTAAGGTCCTTAGATTCTGCTGTAGCCTAGGGGAAATTCTCTAGCAGATTCAGATATTTTTTGACTGGAGCTTTTTATTTAATTAAATATGAAAATGAATAATTTAAGGATCATAACAGCCCCTATAGTGTTTTTTGATATTAAATTCAACTTACCTTACTTTGTCTTTACATTTCCAGTTTTAAATACACCACAGATTGTCATTTTTATGTTTGAGTCAACGGCCCATAAAGATGAATGGGGAAGTTCACACCTGTCAGAGCTATTGTGTAAGGGTGGTTGGGAACATGTGAAAGTATCACTGTAGCAGTCACAGTTAGTTCACATTTTCAAGATTTTCTTTCCAACCACAATAGCTAAAGCAAATTTTTTTTTAAATTAAAATTGAGGTTCTGGAGCACAAGTCTGCAGAAAAGGGTGAACTCTGCCATGGTGAAATACATGGGGCCCTGATTATAGTGAGTGCCATCATTCAATTAATATCCTGAAGTCCTGAGTGTTTAGTAGAAGAAAAAAATTGTACCAAACTATACTTTAAAAATTTCTGTTACAGTGACAGATGTGACAGCATGCTATTTTAATGGTCATATCACTTTAAAATAAATAGGGATGTGATGCACTCACTTTTTTGGATTTGTTGGGCACTAAATATGACTTATCTTCCCCTCATCCACTGAAATAAAAATCAGATGCAAAATTCAAATTTAGATACTGTATACTACACAGTTCCACAGGAAATGAAGTTGTTTAAAGTGAGTTGATTATATTAATGAAATGTTAAATAGCATTAAAGTTTAAAGTATATTTTAAGTTGCAACTTGCAAACAAAGTTAATGCTGGTAGCTGACAAATTACTTAAAAGTGAAGAAATGGAACAAAGCTATTTATGCTGAGTCTGTCATACTAAGGGAATGATCCTGCAAACACTTGTGCACAGGCGTAATTCCATGGAGTTCAGTAGGACTATGCATGTGCTACAGCTAAGTGTTTGCAGGACCAGGCCTAAATTTATCCCTGAGATATGCTGATTACATAAGTCATAAATGCCTGCTTGTGTGCCGCAAATACAGTTTTAGTCCTTAATAATTTAAAACAGTTGTCACTTATGCATGGACTGTACTAGCTCAGCTCTGTTTTAGCAACATCTGTCTGTATTAGGCCTGAAGTCCCATATGCCAGAGAGTTTTGACATTTCCAGTACTGGTTCAGTCACTATGAAGCATTACATACCATTGCATAGTAAATTCTGCAGAACAAATCTCGTATCAATTACACAAAACAGTACAGATTTAAAAAAATCTGGTGTAGATACCTTTACAGTGTGGATAAAATGGACAAAAGTCAGATAATTCATAGTGACTATTGATAGAAACAGTGTTCACTTTTGCCTTCATCCTTCCCACCCAATTGTGTGAGATGCAGAAGAGTGGTGTTACGATTTCAAGGAAAAATTTCACATATTTAATCTTTTATATTTTTAAGGAGAGGGCACTAAATAGCAGGAAAGAAAAAATATCTTTCATATACAAAATTGTCTAAAAGAAAAGGAGTACTTGTGGCACCTTAGAGACTAACCAATTTATTTGAGCATAAGCTTTCGTGAGCTACAGCTCACTTCATCGGATGCATACTGTGGAAAATTCAGAAGATGTTTTTATACACACAAACCATGAAAAAATGGGTGTTTATCACTACAAAAGGTTTTCTCTCCCCCCACCCCACTATCCTGCTGGTAATAGCTTATCTAAAGTGATCATTCTCCTTACAATGTGTATGATCATCAAGGTGGGCCATTTCCAGCACAAATTCCAATTCAGCAGTCTCTTGCTGGAGTCTGGTTTTGAAGTTTTTCTGTTGTAATATCGCAACTTTCATGTCTGTAATTGCGTGGGTGGGGAGAAAACCTGGATTTGTGCTGGAAATGGCCCACCTTGATTATCATACACATTTGTAAGGAGAATGATCACTTTAGATAAACTATTACTGTTAGGGAGCTTATTCCTTCACCCACTTACTTCTCTGGTCCTTCTCGCATGAACAGAGAGCAACAATACCCAAAGTCCAAAGGTGCAAACAATTCGATGTTTATTGGGGTGAACTTCCAGCAAGCATGATTCCAGTTTCCTTCCTTAGTATCCTCCTTCCCAGCTCTGACACCACAGAGCCTTACACCTGTGTCCCTGTTCCCATTCCTACCCTTAGCCAAACATGATTCCAACTTCCTTACTCCCATTCCCTGTTCCCTTTTCCCCCTTTAGCAAAACATGATTCCAATTTTCTTACCCCCATTCCCTGTTCCCATCTCCCCCACCCACTTCCTCATTGACTACAGATTATATAGTAAAAACTTTGTGCTGGAAATGGCCCACCTGATGATCACTTTAGATAAGCTATTACCAGCAGGACAGTGGGGTGGGAGGAGGTATTGTTTCATGATCTCTGTGTGTATATAAAGTCTGCTGCAGTTTCCACGGTATACATCTGATGAAGTGAGCTGTAGCTCACGAAAGCTCATGCTCAAATAAATTGGTTAGTCTCTAAGGTGCTACAAGTACTCCTTTTCTTTTATAGTAAAACTTGAGTTCTGCTTAGCTATACCTTAACCAATCATTTTCCTGAAATTTAACTAACCAGTCCTAACATATCGTAACATGATTATGTAACCAATTATATCCCACCACCTTAATTAGTTTACACCCAGCAAAATTAATTATACAGCAGACAGGAACAATCACAGAACCAGACAGAGATTATACAGACAAACAATAGCAAAGTGGGAACTATAATGACAAGACAATACAGAAGTGAGGATTTCACATCCCAGCTATTGATAAGTGAGTTCTTGCCAGACAGGATGCTATCAAACTAAGTTTCCTTTTACATTTTCTAGGCACTTCCCTTTCTCTGGAGGTGATAGGAATACAATCCTGTCCTGATAGTGCCTAACAGCCCAATAGCACCTTATTTCAATGTGACTAGTTTGGAATGTGAGGATGTGACTGTTCGCTTCCCAGCTTATGGCTGCCTCTGCTGCTTAGCCAAAGGCCTTAGCCTAAGAACAGGGCCTCAGACTGTCACAGTAAGAGAAGGCCCTTACACCAGCAGATAGTGATTTTGATTCTTTCTTTTATACCTCTATAATTAGCCAAGTGATAAGAATACACCTAAATTCTTAGAGTATAGGCCTTTACAGACAGGCCTGAATATCTATATCCTAACAATTACCAGCAGGAGAGTGGGGTCGGGGGAGAGAAAAACACCCATTTTTTCATGGTTTGTGTGTATAAAAACATCTGTACTTTCCACAGTATGCATCCAATGAAGTGAGCTGTAGCTCACGAAAGTTTATGCTCAAATGAATTGGTTAGTGTCTAAGGTGCCACAAGTACTCCTTTTCTTTTTGCGAATACAGACTAACACGGCTGTTACTCTGAAACCTGACAAAATTGACTGTCCACATTCCTTCCAGTAAAACTTTCAAAGGATATTTAACACATGGCCTTAATACATATGTATATCAACACTGATTTTCACAGTTGATTATAATGCCGCCTTAACTTAGCAGTCCAAGTACAGATTCATGTGGTTGCACATAAAATTTCAAACAAGATCTATTGCGTAAATACATATTTTCTAAATGATGTATAGAAACTGTGTATATGAGTTACACATATGAACCAAAATAGTTACCCAATAGTCCAGCACTTCCAAAGAAGCAATTTATGATGTATCTCATATGTGCATTAAAATATGTATTTAGGTAAATAAAAATTGATTTTTTCTTTTTTAAAAAAGCCTAAATATGTGTGTTCAAAATCTGTACAAATGTTTTGCTGAAAAAGCAATTTCCAGGTAAATATAGGTCCCTATTGAACAAAGCATTTAAGAGTATGCTTAAAGTTTAAGCACATTATTTGCTAAATCTGGACCTGTGTCTCCAACTCTTAACTAAAGTATTTTTGTGGCCTGTAGTATCAATTGTATGATTTCATCCATAAGCATTAACAAATATTGCTCAGGATGCCCTTGTGAAAATGGGGAATTTTATCTCTGTTCTTCAGTTGGAAAAACTGAGACCCAGAAGTTACACTTCTCACCCAAGACCACTCTTCCCTCTAAGCTGTGCACGTGTGCGTGCACACACAGATCCTAAACCCCACGCACATGGTGAAACACTGCATGCACAAAAATTTGCACAGAAGCACAATTTGCACAGAAGAAATGTTTTGCGCACACAGCTCATCAAAAATTTGCACAGAAGACATTTTTTTGCGCACACGGCCTGTCAAAAATTAGAGGGAACATTGCCCAAGACCCTAGAACAAGTGCATGTCAGAGCTGTAGTTAGAAATCAGGAACTTCTGGCTACCATTCTGTTTCTTAGACCACAGGATAGCTGGTTGTGCAGTTGTCTTTCTTGAGCTAAGTACTGGAACCAATTACATTATCATGGATTTATTCATTGCAAAATTTAGCTCACAAATATTTTTGAGCCATCCTCAAATTAATGCACTACTTGTTTGTTGATAGCATTAAACAGCAAATTTATTTTTATCTTAAATACTGCTGAACTATGCTTGTAATAATATTTAGGCTCTAGAAAATGTTTGTTTTATAGAAACATGACTACAATTCCATGAACATGAATCCTATCATCATGAGTTCCCTTTCTAATATATTATCCACCACAGGAGGGCACATTCAATCACTGCATAACTTACTCTAGAAGGTTTCAGAGTAACAGCCGTGTTAGTCTGTATTTGCAAAAAGAAAAGGAGTACTTGTGGCACCTTAGAGACTAACCAATTTATTTGAGCATAAGCTTTCGTGAGCTACAGCTCACTTCATCGGATGCATACTGTGGAAACTGCAGAAGACATTATATACACAGAGACCATGAAACAATACCTCCTCCCACCCCACTCTCCTGCTGGTAATAGCTTATCTAAAGTGATCACTCTCCTTACAATGATCATCAAGTTGGGCCATTTCCAGCACAAATCCAGGTTTCCCCCCCCCCCCCCCACAAACTCACTCTCCTGCTGGTAATAGCCCATCCAAAGTGACCACTCTCTTTACAATGTGTATGATAAGGTGGGTCATTAAGGTGGGCCATTTCCAGGAAATGGCCCACCTTGATTATCATACACATTGTAAAGAGAGTGGTCACTTTAGATGGGCTATTACCAGCAGGAGAGTGAGTTTGTGTGGGGGGCGGAGGGTGAGAAAACCTGGATTTGTGCTGGAAATGGCCCAACTTGATTTTCATTGTAAGGAGAGTGATCACTTTAGATAAGCTATTACCAGCAGGACAGTGGGGTGGGAGGAGGTATTGTTTCATGGTCTCTGTGTATATAATGTCTTCTGCTGTTGCCACGGTATGCATCCGATGAAGTGAGCTGTAGCTCACGAAAGCTTATGCTCAAATAAATTGGTTAGTCTCTAAGGTGCCACAAGTACTCCTTTTCTTTTTACTCTAGAAGGTGAAATCCTGCCAACTTCTGTTACATTGTTTAAGTGAGGGGTTGGAATTTTGGTATCCAAATAGTTCAGCCTTTTCTGAATTGCTTCACACATAAGGCAAGCTTTAATAACACATTGTATGTGTGTGGTGTTTTGTGAAAAATTGATTGATAGATTAAATTGTGAAGCAAAGTTAAATTGCTTATTGTTGTATCATATCTTTCTTAGACTCTCTATTGGGCATCAGTAGAAGAATCTATTCCTAAGTGGGAGCAGTTTCTTTTAGGAAGAGCACAAATGCCTGTTGGTTTTAAGAAAAAGAAATCTACAAAGTATAACATAAGTCACCCAGAAGGAGCTGCACAAAGATAAAGAGAAAACCTTTGACTTCAATGGGCAAAATAATGCTATCCGGACAACAGTGTGTCAGGCCATTAAATTGCCATTTAAATTTATGTATATGAAAATGAATCATGTTTGATGGGTTTTTTTCCAGTTGTATCTGTGTGGAAGAGTTCAGCTAAACTGTAGTCTGCCAGCTTGAGGAGGCACAGAATAACATTTCTCCTGGTGGGAGGAACAGTCCTTCTTGAAAGTGACTTTATAAGATCAGAAATTAGACACTGGTCTATGGAAGCCCACCAGTACAATAGCCTCTTTAAGATGACAAGAATTTTAGGTTATGTATAATCCTTCACTTTTGTATTTTTAAGTACCTTGTATATGAATCTACCTTTATTTTCTTGAACCTCCTTGGCCATGGGGGGAATTTATTCTGGGAAAGGCAGGCAATTTACATCAGGCTGAGGGGAAAGCTTTAGTTTATGGCTGGTATCCTCTATAGGAGCCCAGTGGTAAAGGGTGGAGAGGGCACATATTTAATCTTTATGTCCCCTGTTTTCCCTGACCATGTCAGTGACACTGATTTTTTTAGGGGGGAGGAGGATGGCGAGGGGCTGTGTTGGTCTTGCCCATAAGCAATTGCAATTTCTGTTCCATTAACCACTGCTGCAGACTTCCCATATTAGGTTCTGTGCCTGGTTTGCGAAAGCAGAAGCCAATGCGAATTTGGGTTGAATCCAGCCATGAAGTTCATTTTACAGACATTGAAGTAACAAACATTAGTATTATATTTTGACCATGTTTCCTTTGTAGTTTTAAGCCATTGCTTTGTGTCACTTTCATTTTGTTAATGTAAGCCAGAGACACAATTTATGGATTAGGGCATGGGAGGTGTGGAGGAACCAGACAGAAAGTCAGCCCAACTGAGCGTCCCAAAGATCACAGATACTGGAATAAGAAGGGGGGACGCTTGCTTTCTATCGCAGATTGAGGACAGTTTCTCAGCCTCTGCCTACAAACATGGAAGGCCAGCCGGTGTTTTTTTGCTTGCATATTGTTAATTATTTGTATTCTCTGAGTGCCTAGGAGCCTTCGTCACAGGACTCCACTGTGCTAGGTGCTGTACAAATACAGAACAAAAAGACAGTCCCTGCCCCAGATAGCTTACAGTCTGAGGCTAACCCCTTGATAAATTAGTGTGCCTGGGAGTCACCGTCCATTGCTTCCTCATGTTTGTATATATTGAAAGGCCGAATTCAGAGAGAAATCTTTTCAAGTAAATTACTTAGAAGTCTTTGTGCTTTTTCACTCTTCCATAGCAAGGAAGCATGGTGGACTTTGGCGGGGGGGGGGTTTCCTCTAGAATGGGATTTGAGTCAAGAGGATCAATAGAAACCAATTTCAATAAAGGGTGGTTACTACTTCCTTAGGGCAAGAAGAATTCATGTACATAGTTATGAAATGGGGCCACACAAACCACTCCAGTTAGCTATAGGCTAACCAAATTAATTACCAGGAACTATTAGGAATGATGAGCCCTCACCCCCTTATTTGCTGTTAGGGGTTTGTCTTTCCCCTACCTCCCCATTAAGTTTGGAGCGGGGGGTAACCTTGTCCCTATATCTGATTTTTGTGTTATGGGTGTATGATCTAACAGCACCTTTCTTCTACTCCATGACCAACCTCTGCATAAGTGTCACAGCTCTTTACACTGCTCCATAAGGAAGGTGCACCTTCCGAATTTTGCACCTAGAGCATTTTGTGAATTTAATTAATCGAATAGGATTTAATTATCCAGTGCTGACTGGCTGTTAGTGAGGAATTCATTGCCCCTCAAAATAGGGAGCAGCCTCTCCAGCTGGAGACCACAGGAAGTCTGAACAGTTTGCAAGGGCCAACACCTGCAGAAGCTATTTTCTGCTAGATCAGGCTCTTAGTTTGCTGAATTTAAATCACTCAAAGATTCACCCAAAAAAAAATTCCCCCTAGCTACACTTTAAAATGATTTTACATGTTCAAAGTTTATATGAAACTTTTTCTATTGAAATGTCCATTTTAAACTGATAAGTTTTTACAGAAACTGCCATGTTAGAAATATCCTGTTGAGTGGGTGTTGGTGTTTGTAACAATAACGTTGTTTTCAAAATATGTGATGGCAGATTAGCACGCTTCTCTGCAGTGTTGTTAACAGTTGTAATTAAGGAATAAACAGTAAAGGGTGTCAGTCCGATGACAATTCCATCTATAGTGTCACAATACAAAATGTCACAAAATATTAGAACTGTTATATAACTACAAAAATATCAAATTAGGCTTTCATCTTAGAAGCAGAAAGCTTAAAAAAAACTGGCATAGAGACTGTTGCAATTTTATACCTACTCATTGTTCTGTCACAAAGACAAATTGGTAATATTTTGTTCTATAAGATTACAAAGTGATTCTCAGCCATACCGTTGATTTAACAGTAGTGTGTACAGATTTTCAGTTCTGAAATTGTAAATCCAGCCAGATGCAGAAGTGATAGAAAAGGAACAATTTTTATACATCAAAGGGGTGCTTTTTGAAAGGGGCAAAGGAAGTTAGGTTCCCAAAGAGGAAGGATGAGTCAGTGGTTAGTTCAGCAGCAAGAGACCTGGATTCAATTCCCTGCCTTGCCACAGACTTTCAGGGCAACATCCACAAAAGCATTTAGATAACTAATTGCATGTGCCCAACTTGAAAATTGAGATCCTTAAATTTGTGGTCAGCTGCTGCCCCACCCAGTAGGTGCCTAAATTCCATGGGTGCTGACGTTTCTGTTGGTGCTCAAGCGCAAATCCACCTTAAGTCCTGATACCACCAAGCTGTTCAGCAAGCTCATGCCTAAGGCCCAGCAGGATTCACAAAGTAAGCATTTCCACTGCCTATCTTGCCGCCAAGGCCCGAGCTGGTACGAATTCCCAGAGTATGTCCATTCAGCAACTAGACACCCGTGTCTGGCCCATGCCAGGCCCGTGCCAGCTGACCTGGGCTTGTGGGGCTCATGCTGCAGGCTGTTTCACTGCTGTGTAGACATCTGGACTCAGGATGGAGCCCGGACTCAGGATGGAGCCCAGACTCAGGACCGTTCAAGGTGGGAGGCTCTCCGAAGGCTACATAGCAGTTAAACAGCTCTGCAGCCTGAACCCCATGAGTCCAAATCACCTGGAACGGGCCAGCTTCAGGTTTTTCTTTGCTGTGTACACGTACCCTCAGAGGCCCCCTTAGAAGCTCCCAATGAAAGAGGATGGGAGTTAAGTTCCTACCTCCCATTCGTGCTTTTGACAGTCTCTCCCTGAAATTTGAAAATAATGAAGTAGTATTCAACCACAGTGAAATTTATATCTGTTTCAGTTAATCTGAAAATGACAACTAAACACATGGTGAAATTGTGAAATGTTGATTCAGGGAAAGAATCACATTCCCAGACTTAGGGTGTCTGATTTATGTAGTTAACAGCTCCAGATATTTTAACATTCATTTATTTTAGTTAATTTCAATCAATTAAACCAAACTAGGTCTTTTGGATTGTAATTCAGTAAGGATTTTATAGTGTGCAGAATGTTGAAGCTTAAATTGAAAACAATACTGATGATGCTAAACTCATCCTCCCTTCAGAGACTTAGGAAATTGAAATTCCATATTGTTCAGAGGGTATGGCCTTGGAAGCAGCGGAAGTACAGCTACGCTAGTGCATGGAAAATTGTAAGGAAATATATCTATTCAATGCAGGAAAATCCATAGAACAAGAACAGGAGGAAAGCATCCTGAACTGAGAAAGCAAAAGAGGGCACGTTACTGCTTGTACCACTGTAACCCAAAGTGGTAAGAAATTAGCACATACAGAGATTGTACATGGACCACGTGGAACAATAAAGGAAATGGGGCAGAGAGGCAAACCGCAGGGCATCTGAGATGAACAAATAGGGGTGATTCTCTCTCCTTCGCTTGATCGCAGAGCTCAGGGCCTATTGTCAGCACTGAGGACAATCATGCTGTCGCTCATGCAGCACTTAATAGACCTTGTCAACCACCCTAATATATTGCTAAGGTTACTGTTGGTCCTGTGTGCCTTAAGTTGCCGTGTATCTTGGCCCTGATTCAAGACAGCACTGGAATGTTGCCTAACTTTAAGCATGTGCTTAAGTCTTACTGACTCCAGTGGGATTTAAGCCTGTGCTTAAATGTGGTCCTGAATAGGTTTCAGAGTAATAGCCGTGTTAGTCTGTCTTCGCAAAAAGAAAAGGAGGACTTGTGGCACCTTAGAGACTAACCAATTTATTTGAGCATGAGCTTTCGTGAGCTATAGCTCACTTCATCGGATTTATACCGTGGATACTGCAGAAGACATTATATACACAGAGAGACCATGAAACAATACCTCCTCCCACCCCACTGTCCTGCTGGTAATAGCTTATCTAAAGTGACCACTCTCCCTACAATGTGCATGATAATCAAGGTGGGCCATTTCCAGCACAAATCCAGGTTTTCTCACCTCCCCACCCCCATACACACACAAACTCACTCTGCTGCTGGTAATAGCTCATCCAAAGCGACCACTCTCCCTACAATGTGCATGGTAATCAAGGTGGGCCATAGGGATGCTGTCCTGAGCCAGGGCCATTATTTGGAACATATGATTCCAAGTAGTCAGCCACATCTCTGACCCCGCATCACCTTTTATTTTTTTAATTAGCCCATGTAGTTTCCTTTCAGTTCGTAAGTGCTTTTTCACTCAGCACATGCTGCCCTACATGCTGTTCTCTCAGGTTCTCCCTTCTGGTCCTTTTACTGCTAGTACTACAACTTAAGCCACATAGTCCATGACAAGCTCCTGGCTGAAAAATATTCTTAATTGAGAAAAGCAATGGGGAAAACAAATGACTTTACTGTATGTGGATTAGCGCTTGTGTGTCTCATAAGAAGGAATACTGAATCACCTTATTTGTTAAGTTTATGTTCTGATGAGTAACCATTGTACTGACCTAAGAACACAGCCTGATTCATGCCCACGTTGTCACCTCCACCACCACATTTCCTTAGCTGTATACTTTCTTGATCACTGGGGAAAGCAGTGCAGTTAGGTATTTCTTTGGGATGAGAAATTCCTTATTCCTGAATACTTTCTCGAGCCTTTTGTTATTTTCGTATAAGATATTTATAAAATAAGAGTTTTTATTAAATTTTAGTTGCATTGCATCCATGGTTGTTTATATTCAAGACCATATTTTCATTCAGGCTTCAAGCTAGATTCTGCACTGGAGACTGCAGTTTTACACACACACACACGCACATGGGTGTGATGCTCAAACTGCTTTTGTGCATGCAATTCAAGTAGTTAGATGTCTAAATGCTCAGTTTGGACTTCTGTGCATTAAACAATATTTTAAAAATCTGACTCTGAAATTGAGTGTAATCTTAGAGATTGCTTCTGAAAATGTAGCCCTTAAAAATTATTTACTACAAAACTAAAGTTTTTAAAATATTCATATTATTTTAATAATTCAGTACATGTACAGCTAAGATACAAGATATTACTTAGCCTTAGGAATTCTCTAAAGATTTAAAGCAGTTATGCAATTTTAAAATAGAGCGAACAAATTTCATAAATATGTCTTATGTATCCAAAGACCAGATCCAGGGAAAACGTGTTTTTAAAGTTGCAGTAAGGAGTGATCCACATGGCACAATGATTACTTTTGTGTATTCTTATGCTATGTCAGATGTATAGCTTACAGTAGAAAAGGAGCTATTCTGGCTCCAAAAGACCAGTAAGGCAATCCCACTGATTTAACGGGGGTTGTTTGAAGTGCAAAGCAGTGCTGAGTTTGGCCCAGTAAATACACATACAAGAGAGCAGCTGCAAAAAAAAAATTGCTTGTTTAAAATAATATTCCTTCTCCTGAGTTCTCATTTGACGCTGAATTGAAAAAGTTAAACTGCTGTATGGAGATCAGAATTTCAGAAGTTTATTGCTAAGAAATCCCATATTCTTGCCAAACCTAAAGTGGAGGTGATCTATGGAGTCACATTTTTGTTTCACAACAACACAATTAAGTATTTGATTATCTAAGCTGTCATCTTACCAGCAAGATATGGATATGGATTTTTAAAATGCCCCTGTGGAAGACACAGATGCAAGAACAATTCCTTTTTGGATCCTCCTGCAGTGTGAAGTTTTTGTCTTTGCAATATGTAGTACCATTTACATTGGGAATTCGTTATTCTTTCAAAAACAATGCTAAAAAAGCTCTTGAGAATGCTGTAACCTGCACCCAGGGCATATATAATCTTCTGGTTGTTTTTTGTGAGATCCACATCACAGGAGTTTGTCACTGATCTATATTACATATGTAGTAATAATGAATTTAATCATCGCCTTTCATAACTTTTCACCTAGGAATTATTCTTAATTCCTTCCTTCCTTAATTCTTAATGATCTTAAAAATTATTGGGTTTGTTCTTTCTCCTGATTCCTAATCATAGCACTTACCAAAGGCCCCTATTTGAAAGGCCACTGAATACCAAGAAGTTTGTTTACATCGTGCTCTTGAAAGAAATACAAGCCCAGCCAGATTTCATATGATTGTTTTGTAAATATATTGTAAATTAATAAAAATAATTTTTATTCTCCTTTAAATTAATCACTGTTTCTTTGGTCAGTTTATAGCTTAAGCCCACAGTCAATGAGTACCTGTCAAATAGACCCAGCTGTGTCACAAAACAGTTTTTGTTTCCAGGCTTATATTTCTATATCTGCAATTATTAGTGTGTATATGTTCCCAGTAGCGTCATTCAAAGCTCTTTGACTGTTGCTCTATAATAGATTCTGGTGGCTAATTTGCTTAAGTGAATTGCATGCCTGCAGCTTTGTTTAAATTTCTATCCAAACTGCATGCTTCCCCTTGCGTTGGCCACAAAATATGTGTTTTTGCCTCTGCTCAAAGACTTTTCTTACAACAGAAGCAACTGGTTATCTGAGAGGATGGAATTGCTCTAAGTTAGACACATGAGGCTTAAGAAAGCTCAAAGCCAAGATGCTATAAAAGGAGCATTACTCCTTCATTTTTCTGGAACTTTGAAATGAGACAGAGCAGGCTCATTGAAGGTCTAAACTATGGAACAAATAGGGGAACATTTATATTTCAAAGGAAAGTAAAATGTTCTGGGCCAGACACAAACTCAATGCCAAAAAAAATAAAGCAAACTAAAGAAATCTTTGTATATTTGTGATCACTTAATAGCAACGATAATTCAAAGGAAACAGTAGATTAGCTTGTCATTGTGCTTCCCTGGAAATAAATGCCCATAATAATGTGAGGTTTCAGAGTAACAGCCGTGTTAGTCTGTAATTCGCAAAAAGAAAAGGAGTACTTGTGGCACCTTAGAGACTAACCAATTTAAAACCAACGAAAGCTTACGCTCAAATAAATTGGTTAGTCTCTAAGGTGCCACAAGTCCTCCTTTTCTTTTTGCATAATAATGTGAGAGACCTAATCCATACAAACTGGTTTGTGTCTGAATGAAGTCTGCCACAGTTTTTCTCTGTTGTCTCTGAGGTGCATTTAGAATTATTTAAAGAGCCACTGCTTCTCTACATTGTTGTGTTCTTCATGTTTCCTTTCCCTTAGTTTCTGATTGCCAAGGTGTTGTGAGTACATTTGTGCTTTTCTTCCTTTATAATCCTGCTGGATTCATTCAGTGATGCCACAATCCAATCTTGGTGACATCCCAAATCATTAATATAATGAATCAGAAGGAGGCTGATTATAAATTAGAAAGCTTCTATTTATGCAAAATATCTTGGCAAGGGGCACCAGCGGGGAAGGAAATAGAATTTATGACAGTTAGTGGGATTTTGGAGAAACGATTGTAAAGGATCCTAGGTGCTCTCTGTGAATTTAAAATACCTGCATGCTTCACAGCCAAATTCTGCCCACGGTTAACCCATGCAGTGTCACTGACTGAGCACGATGTTGTGGGTTACAAAGGCCCAGAGCCTCAAAGGTGGTTAGGCTTTGAACTTCCATTGAGCCTTAGCAGGTTTGAGGATCTGGACCTAGGTCTTTAACCCTTTCTGTGGTTGTGCTGGTGCAAACCACCCACAGCCTCTTGTACAAGCTACACAAATACCAATTTCTGCTGATATACGAAGATATCCTAACTTAAGTCATTAGTTCTTCAGCCCAGAGATGGATTGATCTATCAAACCTAGGATTTTCTTTTCACTGTGCTCCTTTCCTAGGTAGACCTCCAACGTTACAGTAATGTGGACATTGTTATATATATATATACAAACCTGTATTCACTAGGAGCACATCACTTTTTGGGTTTCTCATTAATCCAATGTATTCTACTCTAGCCATCAACATACACACACACAAAGATGGTGAGACAGCTTCCTGTACGAAAACTTGCTTCCTTTACTATTAGCTCATTCTGCTCCTGTTGTCTCCTCCTCCTGTTCCGTCTCATAACCAGCTTGTGAGCTCTTTGGGGCAGGCTCTGTCTTTTTGCTACGTCCTTGTACAGTGCCAAGTGCACTGAGATCCTCATCACCAATTGGGCTGTTGGCAAAATTATATATTATAATCGTAATCTTCTTTAAAAGGTGAAATCCAAGGAGATTTTAGAAATACCTGCCACTCTTTCAGTATCTTCATTCAGTGATTGGGAATAGGGCCAATCAATTACTTTTGTAAAAAGAAAAGGAGGACTTGTGGCACCTTAGAGACTAACCAATTTATTTGAGCATGAGCTTTCGTGAGCTACAGCTCACTTCATCGGATGCATACTGTGGAAACTGCAGAAGACATTATATACACACAGAGACCATGAAACAATACCTCCTCCCACCCCACTCTCCTGCTGGTAATAGCGTATGATAATCAAGGTGGGCCATTTCCTGCACAAATCCAGGTTCTCTCACCCCCTCACCCCCCTCCAAAAACCACACACACAAACTCACTCTCCTGCTGGTAGTAGCTTATCCAAAGTGACCACTCTCCCTACAATGTGCATGATAATCAAGGTGGGCCATTTCCAGCACAAATCCAGGTTTTCTCACACCCCCCCCACCCCCATACACACACAAACTCACTCTGCTGCTGGTAATAGCTCATCCAAACTGACCACTCTCCCTACAATGTGCATGGTAATCAAGGTGGGCCATTTCCAGGACAAATCCAGGCTTTCTCACCCCACCCCACCCCGAAAATTGGTTAGTCTCTAAGGTGCCACAAGTACTCCTTTTCTTTTTGCGAAGACAGACTAACACGGCTGTTACTCTGAAACCTGTCAATTACTTTTGTATCACTCAAAGTGGCATCTGCCATTTTAATGAATGCTTTCCAGCAAGTGTAGTATCAGAGAACAGTAGCTACCCTTATTACACTTTCTATTATTGACTAAGGCACCAATCTTGCAAACACTTATGCATGTGCTTAATTTTACACACTGAGTAATCCACTGGAGTCAGCCATTCACAGTTCATAAAGTGTGTGAAGTTTTCACAAGCTCAGGGCCTAAAAGAGTCAAGCCACAGCTCTGAAATTTGGGATTAATAAAGAAAGTGGTAGGTGCTCCAGCCTCCCTAGAAGGAAACTGATTTTCCTGAAATGTCACATGCTGCATTTCATCTCAGGGTAGAGTGTTCCCGGGAAGTCAAATTCAGAGCTGAACAGAAGTTTTAAAGGCACAGTGTTTTGAAAATTTGCCTGAAGTTCACTTTTGGAAAATGTTCTAATTTTCTTTGGCTCCCAATATTTCCAAAGTAGCTTGGCCTAGAAACTACAGATTTATTTTGTTCGCCTTGCTGAGGAGAAGTGGCTTTTAGTAGCTTCCGTTAGTGGCAAAATTACAAAGCTTTATGCTAATAATGAAAACATTAAAATAGCTTGTGATGTTCCACACTAAGGCAAGCAGCAAATGGGTTAACTATGAGCTCATTAAAGCAGGGATGTAAGGGGCCAGTAGAATGGTGTGGGAGGGGCTTGGTAGGGGAAAGAAAATGGTTGTCTAATGCAAGGGATCAGGAAGAGCTGGGGAAATGATCCTGCTTGCACTAGACCCGGTATGTCGATTCCTCCCTCCACCCTGCTTCATAGGCTAAAGAAAGTGGTTCTGGGCAGGGGCTTGACCCACGCTGAAGAAAGCCCCAGCTCTATTTCTCTGTGCATGAAGACAGAGTGGAGAAATGTTCTGCCCACAGGGCATCCGTGTATAGTTTTCAGGCTGCAGTGTTTTGTCTCTCTTTGCTACTTGTGAGTACAGCCTGGGCGATGCTTGTCCAGAGCTGGTTTCCTGTGTGTGCAGGGTAAGGGTTGCAATTACTTTGAAATGGTTTCAGCTCTGAATCGACCCACTCCTGACACCAGGCGTAGCTTATGCACAGGGAAGACAGGATGAAATGGGGAGGAGGTGCTGACGGGGAAGCGTGTAGACTGGGGTGGGGGGGAAGGGGCCTGGTGCTGTGCTATTTGGAACAGGGCATTGTGGGGAAGACAGGAAGAGGGTGTGTGTGGAGGGGTAGGAAAGGGGGCTGAAAGGGGGGTAGGGGACTAGGAAGTGTAGGGATTCCTAGAATTGGGAGACAGGGAACATGGAAGGGTATAGTGGATTGAGAGAAGCATTGAGGTGTGTGAAGGGAAGCTGGGGGCATGGGAGGGAGAGATTGGGAAAGGCAAAGATCCTGATCGATGGGAAATTTTTAAGCATTTAAAGTTCTCTAGCTATGAATCCTGAAGCAATCGGTTTTCCCTTTTCCCCCCTCCCCTTCAATAGTCCTGCAGAAAAGGATAAGGGGGCCACTTTGGTGGGCCTCAGAAGATTGGCAGAGTAGGCTGCTTCTCCTCTGGACCTTATACACCAGCCTGACTTAAACGTCTGGTGCGTGTTCAAAAAGCCCTGGGGAAATCAGAGATACAGAATGCTGTTAAAACGACTTACGCATGGCCATGTTTCAGTGGCAATCCGTGTGCTTTGGTGGCATCACCCTCTCCCCTGCTCTCTGCCTCTGGCACACAACCGTTTGGTGTTTTGAGGGCTGAAATGCTTTGGTCTGTCTAAAGTCCCTGGGCTCAGTATAGGGGCTTCTGGATTAAATTCAATGGCCTGCGATAGACAGATCGGACTAGATGATCTAATGGCCCCTTCTGGCCTTAATCTCTATGGAACTATGCCACCCACTGTTAAGTTCTTTACCAAAACAGAATCCACAACACACCAGCTGTTAGAACGTCTGGAATTGAATGGTTAAAGGTCCCCACTGCCATAGAAACCTCCATCAGTCAAAAAGAAAAGGAGGACTTGTGGCACCTTAGAGACTAACCAATTTATTTGAGCATAAGCTTTCGTGAGCTACAGCTCACTTCATCGGATGCATATTGTGGAAAATACAGAAGATGTTTGTTTTTATACACACAAATCATGAAAAAATGGGTGTTAATCACTACAAAAGGTTTTCTCTCCCCCCACCCCACTCTCCTGCTGGTAATAGCTTATGTAAAGTGATCAGTCTCCTTACAATGTGTATGATAATCAAGGTGGGCCATTTCCAGCACAAATCCAGGGTTTAACAAGAATGTCTGGGGGGGGACGGTTAGGAAAATAAGGGGAAATAGGTTACCTTGCATAATGACTTAGC